TATCCTTTCTTCTGCTTGGTCAAGTCGGCTGTTGAAACTGGTGTATGCTTCCCAAAGTTCCCATGTTGTATTTTTCAGCTCCATCAATTCACTTATATTCCTCTCTAAGCTGTTTATTCTCATTAGCATCTCATCAAATCTTTTTTCAAGATTCTTAGTTTCTTTGCATTGGGTTAAATATGTTCTTTTAGCTCAGAGAAGTTTCTTATTACCCACCTTCTGAAGCCTGTTTCTGTCAATTCATCACACTCATTCTCCATCCAGCCTTGTTCCCTTGCTGGTGAGGAGTTGTGATCCCTTGGAGGAGGCGAGGCGTTCTGGTTTTGGGCGTTGTCTTCATTTTTGCACTGGCTTCTTCCCATCTTTGTAGATTTATCTACCTATCGTCTTTGTAGTTGTTGACTTTCAGATGGGGTCTCTCAGTGGACGTCCAGTTTGTTATTGATGAAGTTATTTCTTTCTGTTTCTTAGTTTTCCTTCTAACAGGCCCCTCTGCTGTAGGACTGCTGAGGTCCACTCCAGGCCCTGCTTGCCTGGGGATCACCAGCAGCAGCTGCAGAACAGTAAGGGTTGCTGCCAGTTTCTTCTTCTGCTATCTTTGTCCCAGAAGGATGCCCGCCAGATGTCAGTCTGACCTCTCCTTTATGAGGTGACTCTTTGGATGTACGGGGGTCAGGGAGCTGTTTGATGAGACAGTCTGTTCTTTAGGAGCTCAAGTCCTGAGCTGTGAGTTCCGTTGTTCCATTCAGAGCTGCTCGGCAGGTACGTTTTAGTCTGCTGCAGCAGAACTCATAAACGCCATTTTTTTCCCCCAGGTGCTCTGTCTCGGGGAGTTGGGGCTTTATTTATAAGTTTCTGTAGTGCTGCTGCCTTTTTTCAGGGCTGCCCTGCCCAGTCAGGAGGCAGCCTAGTCACAGTATGCCTCCAGAGGCTTTGCTGAGCTGCTGTAGGCTCCGCCCAGCTGCTGTGGGAACTTCCCTGCAGTCCTGCTTATAGGGGTATAGTTAGAACGGCCTCAGCAATGGCAGCCCACCTCTGTAATGGTGGACTGCCTTGGCAATGGCGGGCTGCCTCGGTAATGGTGGATGCCCCTCCCTCACAGAGCTGGACCATCCCAGGTTCAGCTGTGCTTGTTGTGAAACTCTCAATCCAGAGCATTTCAGATTGCTGTTTTTGTGGGGGTGGGACCAGCTGAGCCTGAACATCTGGCTCCCTGCCTCACAGCCCTTACTTTTTTTGGTTGAACAGGCAACTCTCCCAGGCATCCTAGTCACCAGTTGAAACAGCACCTGGATTTGTGTGATTTTTTGTGCATAGACCCACTGCGCCAGCTGAAACAGCCACACTGGGGACTTGTGGTGCTTTTTAGCCCGAGAATCTCCTGGCCTGGCTCCCTGTTTCAGTCCGCTTTTTATCAGTTGAATGGGCAACTCTGTCTCCCAGAAGCTCCAATTGCCAGCTAAAACAGTGCCCGGACCTGTGTATTTTGTGCGGAGACCCGCTGTGCTGGCCAAAACAGCTGTGCTGGCGACCTGTGGGGCTCCTCTGCCTGGGAATCTCCTAGTCTGTGGGAAATAAAAATCCGTCTGGAAATGCGACGTCCACTCACCCTCTGCGTTTTTGCGGGGAGCTGCAATCCTGAGCACTCCTAATTGGCCATCTTGAATCCTGATCCTACTGATCCTATCTTGATTTAAATAGTTGATATTTCATTCATCATAATTTTCACATTAATTGTGATTTTTGAAGATACTGTATTAAAATATTATTCATCTTGATGACTGAGTTTTGGGGTACCCCCTTAAATTGGACACCTGAGAAAAGTGTCTTCCTGCCCTCATTGAGGGGCAGTCCCACTCCTGATGTTTTCCCACCTCCCTCCCTCCTCTGTTCAGGGCTTCCCTTCCCTCCATCTTCTTCTGCTAAATTCTCCCCTCTCAGAAGCCTAGCCAACATGACTTCCTCCATGAGGCTATATGTGACTGTCCAGTGAGAAGGTGTCCTCTCTCCTATGACACCAGGTTGTCTCTCCCTCCTGGCACAAATTGAATATTGCCTCAGACATCTGATTGAACTCCCCCAATAGATACCTTCAGGAAAAAGAATTCTATCTTACTTACCTCTGTATTTTAAATAGAACTTGGCACAGTGGACAAGCAAAGCAAAATCCTAGCAATTGTTGAGTGAACAAATGAACAAATGGATGAATGAACGAATGAGACCCCAGAAAAAAAGCTCATCTCTTCTAGAAACAAACATGCAAGCTCTTTTCCCTGACATGAACTCACCGAGCATCCCAGAGGATGGGGGATTCGGCTGAATCTCTTCTGGGGAGATTTCCTGAAGAATGTCCCATAGCTCCCAAGGCATCTGGGGTTTGAGGATGTAAAAGGGCTGATTGGGGTGCAGCTTACGATAACTCTTGTAGTTATTGAAGAAATTATAATCTGGATTCTGGTACCACTGAAAAAGAAAGAAATGGTCCTCTCAAGGGAGAAATGGGCCACAGGAGTCATCCTCAGCAGTGGCTGGGGGAGGGGAAAGGACCAACAAGCGTTTCTCCTGGGGCACAGCCCTTTTCTTGCAGCAGACTACAGGCTTCCCTTCCACTCACAGCTTTCACTGGATAGCAGTGTAAGGCCTAGCATGTAGCCTGTGCTTTTGAGGAGTGTTGACCTTAGCAAGCCAAGATCGGCTTCAGGCTTCTAAAAACAGCTATTAGTGTTTTTAGAAAAAAGAATAATGCGTAGAAAAAAGAAAAAGCAGGTGGGAGCTGATGTTACCCAGGAACACTATCAGAGTTGAAAGGAGTTCCAGGTACCATCTAGCCCCATCTCTCATTTTTAAAGGGAAGAAAACTGGAGCATAGGTTGCCACATCTATGGGTTCAGAGTCCTTGTCCTGACCTAGGCAAATTTGAGTTCTAAGTGAGATCAGTGTGAAACTATAGAAACTCAGATAATGAGAGTGCCAGGGGTCACCAGAGCCTGTCAGGCACTAGTGGATCCAAGTTAAGAGTTACATGTCCCAAGATTAGTGCTCTCTGCCCTTCCTCCTTAAAGTCATGCTCCCGAGGCCACAGCAGTCTATATCAGGGAGAGGTCAACTGGCATGCATAACAGTGAGAGGACTGTCCCAGGGGGACTAGAATCCAGCAGGCCTGCCACTCACGTTTCCTTCCCTGGGAAGAGCTGCTGCTGCAGATCCGCACCTTCTGCTTAGTAAATCAAGTGCTGGGATGAGGGACTTTCATTCTCCACGTTCCAATTTCCCTATCTGTAAAATGGGAACAACCACTCCTCCATCTATCCCCTTACATTGTTATAAAAGTGAAATGGGAAGAATTCTGGATATTGGAAGTGGGAAACAAAAGTGAGCTCATATTATTTACAGGAGTAACACCATCTACTCTCTAATTCTGCTGATGCTCATGAGGAATAATTGCATTAATGAACAATCTACCCCAGATGTTGGGAAGTCCAGCCACTATCCCAGTAAATACTATAACTAGGAGATAATACCTGGCAATACCTGGCTAGGCAAGGAGAGTAGCTGGCATAGGACAGGAATACTTCTGAATCTGCTAGTCCAGGTGAAATGGGGTACCCTAAAACTCAAATACTCAGCCTTGAGGGACAGTTAATCACAGTCAAGACTTGAAAAACCTAGGAAATCAGGAAAATCTGTAGACAGACATGAAACTCAACCCCTATTTCCCATGGACACCCACTTACCTTCGGGATATCTGAATGGTACACAGATGGGTCCCATACAATTAGGATTCCTTCATTGTACAAACTGTCTGTGAGGAAGCGCCGCTCTGTGGTGACCAACTGTAAAAAGAAAGAGACAAGCTGTCATGGAACATTCATATGCAAATGTTTAACATGATGTAATAGCTGACATAGCACAAGGTACAACTGGAGCCCCCAGAACCCCCTTTGGGGCTTTTAAGTTCTGGTGCAGCACTTAACTTCAGTGAAAGAAAGGTAAAGATGCCAGCCTGCACTGTGTTGACCTCAAAGGACATTTATCACAAGCCACTATCCATAGACTAGAAAGGGTTCCACCCATGCTTTGAGATTATTTGAGATTACGGGGGCAAGGGTACAGTGAAAATAGCATGGCACCCCAGCCCCCTGGAGTCACACCTTGTGTGAGGGACACAAGAGTAGAGTTTGAAGCTAGGGTCTCATAGAATTAAAATTATCTCTGGAATCCTTTCCATCACCTAGAACGTCCAGTACATCGTGATGTACAAAGTCCAGTACCTCACGATGGAGACTGACGTAGGATCTCTGACGAAGTCCAACACAGCCAATAGTTTCTGCAGCACTGGAACAGATGGCTGTGCTTGTGGTTGAGCACCAGATGAAATACACAGTTTGTGTGGAGGGCCCAGAGTGCATGCAAAAATGTGCATCTCCCAACAGGAGACTCTCACCAGGCTGGTGATAAGCTCATGAGTGCCTGTGCTGGCTGGGGGAACCAGCCATAGCCTCTCCCACCATGCTGGCTCCTGGGTTGGCCTGCACATGAGTAGTTATACCTGCCTGGCTTAAACATGAGTGTGATAGCCTTGCTTGAACAATTCTACAAAATGTATTAAAAGCCTTTTTTTAAAAAAAAAAAAAAAAAAAAGGCACATTTATACTCTTTAACTCAGTAATTCCATGCTTGGGAATCTATCCTAAGAAAGAATCCAAATTTTAGGGGAAAATTATGCATGTAAATGTTAATTATTTATCTGTGAAATGGGAATAACACGTTTGCTCTGCTCTCTCATACAGGAGCTGTCCTGCAGATCAAATGGAGATCATGAGCAAATGAGAAAGAAAAAGTAGTCCCAAAGGCTTAAGAATGAAGGGAGCCATGTCCCTCTTAAGAAAGCCAGAACTAATATATGAGATCAGCCGTCAATATTCACCTTAAAAAGCAGGTGAGAGATGATGTTGCCCAGGTAAAAACTGAGAGGAATAAATGGCAGAAATCAAATAAAGAACGGACTGAAATGAAAGCAAGAATCATGACAATAATCCCTCTCCATCCACCTCGGTCCTCACTACCAAGGCTTAGACCTAATCAGTGTCACTGCAGTATCTGGGAAAAAAATGTCCAGGGAGATGGCCTGTGTGCAACCCAAAGAATAGAAATCTGCCACAAGCCTCTACAATCCCTGAGCTATCCCCACCCCCATACCTTCCTACAGATGTAAGGAAGTTCCTAGGAACCTGAAGAATATACTCATGAATTATTGGTGGTGTGTCCACCTTGGCTGGAGATTGTGCAGCTGTACTGGGTGCTAAGAAACCAAAGGTAAGACACAGTCCCAGCCTTCCAGGAGGTCACAAGTAGTGGGAAAGGTGGATAATTGAACGATGATTAACACGCTGTGACGGTGCAACAATAGAGGCAGTATGAGGAAATGGCCATAAAATGAGCGCATGCTGAGGGGCCAAAAAGAGCCTGCCAAGTAAGGAGATCGTAAGCGTGAGAGAGGGGATGTGACTCCCGGATATGTGAGAGTGTGGGAGAGACTGCTCGATGTCACCCAGTATCCATTCTCTCTTTCTTCTTTGATCACCAGCACCTCTGGTTTTGACTTTTGCACATGGCAACCTAGACTCCCTGAAATAAAAAATTTCATAGCCTCTCTTATAGATAAATATGGCTGGGTGACTAATTCCAGCCAATGGTATGTAAGCAAGCGTGACTTCCAGGAACTATCCTTAGAGCCAAGGTTATGCTTTTCCTTGTTTCTTCTTCCTTCCTGCTGGCTGGAATGTGGATGTGATGGCTGGAGCTTGAGCAGTCATTTTGGACCATAAAGTGGAAGTCAGATGCTGAGAACAGCAAACCCACAAAGTAGAAAGAACTTGGATTCTGACACTAGAACACCATACCAACTTTGGAATGTCTACCTTTGGACTTCATTTACATGAGAGGGAAATACATTTTTTTTCTTGTTAAGCTAGTGTTGGGGGGGGATGTGCATTCCTGTCTTGCAGGAACATCTAGTACAGCGAGTACTAGTACCAGTACCCTGTTTGGGAATTGCAAGCAGTTCAGTATGGCTAGGAGACAGAGAAAGAGCTGGAAGGGATCAGAGAAACATAGATAGAGGCCAAGCCAGGGAGCTTAGGATTTCTTCAGTAGGTTATGGGGACCAGGAAAGCGTTTTAAGTAAAGAAGACTGAAAAACACTAGAGTTCTGGATTAGTGTTTTTAGAAAAAAGAAGAACGCACAGAAGCTCCTGCTGTGGCCTAAGAAATAATGTAGTAGAGAAAAGAAGTTACAGTTGTCGGTTGTAGACGTGAAGACTAATTGAATGTTGAGAGTGAGGGAAAAACGGGACCCAAGGGACTTTTGGACCTCAGGCCATTTCCTTCATAAGAACAGAGAAAAAGGAACAACTGGTATATACCTGTGGTAGTGAGCTGGGTGGGAATTTGAAGTTCAAGGATGAGGGCCAGGCACAGTGGCTTATGTCTATAATCCCAGCACTTTGGGAGGCTGAGGCGGATAGATCACTTGAGGTCAGGAGTTGAAGACCAGCCTGGCCAACATGGAGAAACTCCATCTCTACTAAAAATACAAAAATTAGCCAGCTGTGGTGGTGGACACCTGTAATCCCAGGAACCCAGGAGGCGGAGGTTGCAGTAAGCCAAGATCATGTCACTGCACTCCAGCCTGGACAACAGAGCAAGACTCCAACAGGAAAAAAAAAAAAAAAAAAAGATGAGTTCAAGGATGAGACTACTGGCCTAGAGGTCCCTGGCTGACAGGCCATAAGAACTAAGAACAGAACCCATATCTTGTAAACTTTAAGTACTGTCTTCCTTCCATAGGAAACATTGTTACTTTACAACAGCAATTCGGTACTACAGTCCAAAGGAAAAGCAGGCTTCCTGCTAGATGGGGCTTTGCAAGATAGACGTGATTGAGCTGGTGACAGGGAGGCCTGAGGATAGAGGGCCATCGTCCACTATTTTATACATGTCTTCTAAGACTGAATTCTGTGACTGTACTCCTTATCCCCATCCTACCCTATTCCCCTGAAAACAGCTGGTATATTAAAAGCAAAATGTCTTTTCTTTAGCTATGCTTCTTTCTATGCAGAGTAGTAATGCCAGGTGATATAGACATAGCCATGAGGAATAGCAGTAACTGGGATTTTAAAAAATGTCTCCCCCTGCTATAGCCCCTTTCCAGCAATTTTCTAGTACGCAAAGCAGGAGGCCAGCAACTCCTGGCTCCCTGAGACTTTCCCAGCTGTGGCTCCACTGTCCTCAGAAATTCCAAGAGATGCATGAGCTTTCTTCTTTATAATAAATGAAAACAACAACGCCATTTAATGATGCTCACCATACACTAGGTACTGTCATACCTCGACTCAGTTTATCTTCACAACAGCCCTACGAAGTGTTAATATGCTTATTTTATAATTAAAGAAATAGAGATGTAAATAACTTTTCCAAGTTACATAGTAAGTGAGTCTGAATGTGAGTCTTGTGTCAGGCTCCAGAGACCACACTTCTAACCTGGGTACTACAATGCCTCACATAATGTGGGCAGGGTAGGGTACCATAGCTCTTGGGCAAAGACGTCAAAGAGCACCGGATAGGAGAACAGAGTGTTAGGAGAATTTGCTTCATGCCTGAGTTGTAATATGTCACAGCTGGAAGATCCTCAAGGTATTAAATTCAAACCCATCATTTTCCAGATAGGTAAACTGAGGCCCAGAGAGACGAGAGAATTGTCCAAACGAGAGAGTTTGGGGCACAGCTAAGACCAGAGTCCAGAGGTAGGCTCCTAACTGAGTATTCTTTCTGCTCCAACAGGACTACACCCATAAAACCATCAGACATTCAAATAAGCAAGCACACCATGTGGGTCAGGTCACCTTCAGTCCTGTACTCAATGGAGAAACAGTCATTCACTTGAGCTACTCGAGATGAATGAGACTATAATCCATGAAAATGGCAATAGGTGAAGATAAATGATAGTTTTATCAAGAAAGAGAAATAGAAAGTAGCTGGGGCTGGGATCTGGTGGAGGGAAAAGGAACTCCCCTCCCAGAACTTTAAATGGACATGGATCTGAACTTACCCACATTAATTCCCTCTGTATGAGGTTCAAAGATTTTCTCAAAAAAAAAAATTGCCTTAAAACTGGATGGGGAGTTGGAAGCATGGGTTCCAATCCTGTTCTGTGTCTAACTCACTCCGTGGTATTAGATGGACCATTTTCCATCTCCCAGCCTCAGGTGCCTTATTTAGACATAACCATCTTGTTAGGTCCTGCTGGGGGTACCAGCTGTTCCTGGAAGAATAAAGCTCTTCTCAAAACACCTGTACTTACCTGCAGGTGTAGGGTGTGACCTGGGTTTGGAGATTCTCTTGAGGGGAATGGGAGGAGTTCATGCCAAGAATAAGTCATGGCCAGAGCAGCAGAGCCCTGGGGAACCTCTGCCAGGAAAAGACTACACGAGGGCATGGAGCACTGCTGCTAAAGACATTGTTTAAAGTAACTTTCTCAGAAAGTAACGAATGTTCACTGAGGACAGCTAGAAAATGCAAATGCCCATCAGTGATAGACTGGATAAAGAAAAAGTGGCACATACATACCATGGAATACTATGCAGCCATAAAAAAGGATGAGTTCATGTCCTTTGCAAGGACATGGATGAATCTGGAAATCATCATTCTCAGCAAACTGACACAAAACAGAAAACCAAACACTGCATGTTCTCACTCATAAGTGGGTATTGAACAATGAGAACACATGCACACAGGGAGGGGAACATCACACACTGGGGCCTGGTGGGGGATG